GCAGCGGCGTGCCGGCCTCGGCAGGGGCACGTGTCATCCGAAGGGTGCAGGCGGCACCCCAGGGCCAGCCTGGGCCCCCAAGACGCCTTCGGCCATGGCCAGCCCAGACGCAGAAGGCGGGAAGCAGATGCCAGGAAGGGGGTGTCAGAGGTGGGGCCCCTCTGGGCGCAGGAACCTGCAGCCCGGATGCCGCATGCATCCCCAACGCGGCCAACCCACGCCACATGCACCCCATCATGAGACCCTCTCAGCCCACGACCCCCTGCACCAGGTCACCACCCGCACACTGCAGTGGGGGCCCAGACACGGCAGCCCCGCTGCCAGTGGGGGGCCCGGACACGGGCTCAGGGCACGGAGAGGGCCGGGCTGGGCCCCGTCGGGGCCGCACACGGGCACGGGCCCGGCACAGGCCTGCCCGCCGGGCTCACCTTGCCACCGGGGGTCCTCGCCCAGGATCTTCTCAATCATGGCCTGGCTGGCCAGGACCCCCGGCTGCAGCTCTGGGGTGCCGTCGCCCCCGCCCAGAGGGCCGCTCTGCAGCGCGTCCTGGGCCTGCAGCTCCCTGGAAACAAGGCCGGTGACGGGGTCTGGCCCAGCGCTGGAGGTCAGCGCGGGACGCGCCGGCGGGTCTGGCCCCGCTGGGCCAGGTCCTGCGGGCGGCTCCCCGGGAGCGGCGGCTCGGAGGCTCGGGCGCACTCACCGCACGTCGCACACGGGCGGCCGCAGGTCCAGGGGGCCGTGCGCGAAGGCGCAGTGCGGCCCGTTCCTCGCGCAGTGGCCCCGGGCGTCCGTCCCGTGGGTGCCGGTGCCCGTCTTGTAGTAGCGCAGGTGGTACTTGCGCTCCGTGTCCCCCGTCGTCCGGTGCAGGTACGGACACCTGGGCGGAGGTGCAGGTACCGTCTGGGCCAGGCCCGGAGGCCACCCTGGCGCCACGCCGGGCCCGCGCCACCCCCTGGGCCACCCTCCCCAGGGGGAGCCTGCGCCTGCGGGGACGGGGGAGGCCGCCCCGGGGCGACACCCTGGCCCAGCCAGCCGGGGAGAGCCCAGAGCTTGGGTTGCCGTGTGGACCACACCCAAGGGGGTGCGGGCACTGGCCACAGGCCAGCAGCACGCGCCGGGTCGCCACAGATGGCGCTCAGGCTCACGGGGAGGCCGCGGGGCAGGCGCAGGGTTTCCGCGTGGGGCGACGGGGAGGGGCGACCCGGCCAGGCGCAGCGGCCGAGGCCGTGCTTAACGCAGGTCAGCTGGCGGGCATAACGGGCAGGCTGTGCGGCCTGAGAGTCAAGCGGTGCCCAGACAGGAGGAGACAGACCTCCCTGACGTCACCACGCCACGCACGCCGCAGGCAGCACGCACCCCTGCGTGGCATCCCCTCCCTTCTCGCCCCTGCGCACGCCCCCCACTCCAGAGGCCAGCAGGGACCCCTGGCTCCAGCACCACCTCCGGCCGGGGCGAGGCCAGGCGCAGGCCGTCTTGGCCTGGCAGCAGCCTGAGTCCACCGGGGCCGCCCACAGCCAGGGGCGGGCGGACAGCCAGGCTGGGGTCCTGATCTGAGGAGCCGGAGGAGCGGGAAGCCCCCCTGCCTGGCGGGGACAGTCCCGCGAGGCCCCTCCCACCAGGCCGCCGAGGACCCCCGCTCCACCGTGCCCAGCTGGCCCCTCTGCCCAGGGCCAGGACAGCAGGGTGGCCAGCGCATGCGACCTGGAAGGGGCCTCTGGACGGACCCCCACTAGTCTCCTGTGTTGGGGTGCCTGGTTCCCGCGGCCCGGAGCTTGCCCCAGAGATGGGGTTAAACGGCAAGGTCGGGGTCCACGTGCCAGGGCTGCCCCAGGCAGGCGGAGACGCTGAGCGCTTGGGTGAGGCGGGGGCTGGACGGGGCAAGGTCGGCAGAAGGAGCCCCCGGCGCCTCACTGCCCGGCCCCGAGGCTGGGTGCCGCGACGCAGGGCCTCCTCCTCCCTCCCACAGGCGGGGACAGGCGAGAGGAGGCGAGTCTGGGCAGGGCCGGCTGCCGCCTCCCCAAGCAAACGGCCCAG